CTTTCAGCGCGCTGACGAAACTTTGGCATAACGACGGGCAGCGAGAGAAGCATCATAAGCGAGTGGTTGGCAGGATATTAGTGCGTACATCGCGCGAACACTGTTAGCGCAAGCAAACGATCACCGTTTTATTCATTTTTTTTTCGTTAGACTTGAAAGGCTATTGTCTTAACTAGCACTGTCGTGCGATATGTTCATTTGGAACATTACTAGAAGTGGGAAAATATTGTGCCCGTCGTTGTTCTATGAAAATAAAATACGAAAGCAGCGCCGACGTCATCTTCGCGCTAACAATACCGCTCTGTCGCTGCGCGGCACTCTTAGCGCGAATACCACATCCGCGATTTTTCGGTTAGCGCTCCACATATATACTTCCCAACTGCACTCGAAGAAAAAAAAAATTGTAGTCGGGTGCATCGGGCGCACATGCTCCCCTTTCCTGGAAGACGCACCCTCCGTTACCCAGCCAGTGTATACCTGTACACCGACCATAAGCCCCCTTCTCTACCTTAAAAACCTATAGGTGTATCAATGCACTCAGCTTAGTAAACCGCCACGCTAGCCACGCACCCCGATCAGCTTGTGCTTGAATCGGATAAGATTGGATATTTCAGGCTTTGTGTTTTGGAAGAGCCTAAACAAGACGTCTCTCATATATTGATTAAACTTAAGCTAGTCTCAGTAATGTTTTAATTAGGTGCTAGGATACTGATTTTCTGATCCAAGGAAAGCTAACAGCTTCGGTTAAAACCGCAACGGAAACGTTCAAAATCGAACCACACGTAAAAGAAAAAGAAAATGAACATCTCGACCTAGATGTGCAGGACGCTGGTTTTGTTGTTAACAACGTGGTTGTTGGCGGATAGTGGGCAACGCCGTGACGCTATCGACGCTATCGTGGTGATTGACGCCAGTGATGCTCGGCCGTACTACACAGTAAAAGTTTTTACACCTTTAAGGGTCTAACAGGGGTGTTGTAGCAGCTTTCACCCTCGGCTACACCCTTTTAACACCCTAAAAACTAGGAATACAACCTCATATTTTACCGAAAATTTGCTCTTTCGTGTTACACCCTACATTTAGTGAAGAATGTGAGAAGGGTGTAGAGGAGGGTGCTAAATAAATAATGTGAAATGGTTTTGAAAAGCTTATACATGGCTCTGTACATAATGTACAGGTAAGATTTATGCTTGAAAAGCAACAGTTGTTAGCAGTCTAGTTTCTTATAATGTCAGTTGTAATTCATGCAAATAGCTGATAATAAAGTGCCTCTTTTGCATACAATTTTTATGTTTGCAAACAAAATTTTATATATGAGTTTATATTTAATTTTCTTACAAATCACCCCATGCTCAGAAATCGGAAAGTAGGGTGAAATGTTCTATGCTAGCATTTTTTACATATATTTATTGATGGAAGTGTACAGTAAGAAAATCAGTTAGTCTCGAGTTTATATCTGGCAACATGAAATCAAAATATTGTGAAAATGTTTGACAAATATTCAGGACATGCTGCTAGAACCTGTCTCATGACCATGTCAACCCGAGTAAAATATTCATTTGAGAATATGGTGACATGCACAAAAACTCACACACATAAAGAGGCAAATCCCATAATAAACCAGTCCGAGACATCCCATAAAAAATGGCCTATGGTCGTCTATGGGAAATTCAATGAGAGGCTATCACCCCCTGTAGCTTTGCATGGTCGGCCTTAAAAATTTATAGATACAGCTACAGCCAGCTATAGAGAAGTTTAGGGCCCTGTGTCTAAAGTCTCAGGGCTATGTTTCAATAACAACAACAATAATAATAATAATAATAATCAATAAGTTAGTGTTTTAACAGTGTCCAGGGACATGCAGTTGTTCTTCTTGCGGGCGCAGTGCAATAGAACGCACAAACAGACGCTTGCGCGCTCGCAGTCGCACACATACACGCGCGCACGCACGTACACATGCATGCACACGCGCAATCCCACGCCCGCGCGCAGAGGCACACGCACGCACAACCAGAAACGCACACGCGCATGCACGGGGACGTATCCACACGCGCGCGCACCAACACACGCACGGGCATGCACACACACACACACACGCAAACAATTACGACAAAGGAAACGTTGCTTAAGTTAGTTTCGGTTTACACAAAAAAGAAACAACCTGAAGTTTAAATAAAACCTAAGATTTACTCATTTTTTGTAATATTTTACATTATTATTTTAGTGACATTTTTATTGTTACTAAAATAATAATATTTTTCTTAGTATCGTTCTAAAAAAATTAACAATAAATAAAAAGGAAAAGAGACTCTTAAAGGCTGCGCAAGACCATCATGACGTCATGTGCAAGGAGCCTATAGGCTCCTTGCACATGACGTCATTTCCGATACCCTCCAGAGAAGAGGGGGAGAGGGAGCTCCCCTCTTATCAGGACCCTCCTTTGTGCCTTCCGGATTTGCACAGGCGTCGCTATTCTCCTCCCAGAAGATTATAGAAGATTAACCCGTCACTCAAAATTCTTACAAAAGCAGCTTCCCTCTCCTCCTTTTACTTGGTGTGCAAATGTGTGCGATGTGACGTCAATGCAAGGAGCCTATAGACGTTTTCCGCAAGGGCGCCGCCATCTTGAATTGTCGTCACTTCCAGTATGGGCGAAAACATTGTTCTGCCGTCGCCACGCCAATAGAAGACATTTAGCAGAAAAGCACAATCGTCACACATTCTCATTTTGCATCCCCTCTATTTTTTTACTATTTACAGGTTGAAATGTTTTAATAATTTTTTGTCGCCCATACCGGATATGCGTATTAGGTGGCTGACGACGAGAGTACACGGAAAAGGTCTATATGCTCTGTTCACCTTGTTCACCTTATGATGTACCGCAGGAAAGGCTACAAGCGCGAGCTCCTTGCTCTGGGGCAGATCTCGGCGGCACAAGCTCTGGTGAGAGCAGCTCCCAACGCTATGAGCTCGCGCTTCTAGACTTCTCTGCGGTACATCATCAGGTGAAAGTTGAAACGGAGCATAGATGGCGCTAAAGTATTAAAACGGAACTACCCACGATGAAACGGTTTATAGCTTTTTTTTTCTCGTTTACTCTTTGTCCCCGGTCCCCTGGTAGGCATATCTTCTATGGGGGACGAAGAAAAAAAAAAGCAGAATGTTTAAGTTTCGCCTTTAAGAGTGGAACGCGATAGAGTTCTCGAATCCTCGGCCCGCTTGCGGCGCACTGCCTCTGCACGCCTAGCCTTCGACTCCGCCTTCTCGGCTTCAATCTTTCGTGGCCGACCACGCCACCCGTCACCGAGCAGGAGCAGATGCAGCATCCGTACTCGTAGATGACGATGACGTCGATGACGGCAAGATCGCAGCGCCACTGGGCGAATCCGGCGACGGACGGAAACTTTCCGCTCGTCCGCGACAAATGGAGACTGTACGCTTCTCCAGACAGATGAGCCTAGATCACGTGACGGTGACATCATGCTCCTATCGACCAATCAGGATTTTTGCATCACGTCGGCATTTCTGGCAAGCCACCGGTTCAGGCGCGCCACGAGCTCCTTAAAGGGGCCCACCAACACTTTTTTGACCGGTTTGAAGTTGGCGCTGAAAAGGAGCTCCATGAAAGCAGGAACACCGAGAAAAAATAATATTACAGAAATTCGCAATATTTTGTGAGTTATTAGAAAACTAAATATTGCAGAAAACAACTTTAAATAAGCAAAACATTGCGCTTCATGACGTAAAATGAAACAGTTTAGCGATTGGAGCAAAGCGGTTGGCCAATGGGAGCAAAGCATCGGCCCGGGCGATTGGAGCAAAGCGTCGGCCCGGTCGGCTCGTCGGCCATTAGGCCTAGCCGCAACCATCGTAGCTTTGGGATCGGGTTGCCATCATCGATGAATTTACCGGGCTTATCGGATTTTGAGTGCGGAGCTGGGCGTCGCGCCGTACGAGGACACTGCACGCATGGGCCGCGACGCGTCTCTGCCTCAGTCCGCTTCGACTGCCGCGGAAGACTCGTCTCCCGCAACTCCGCCACCGGAGCCACCTCGGCGAGTAGGAGCTACAAACTGGTGTGCGGCCCGTTGGGCAAAAGCTGGGTCCCGTCGCCGCACTTCACTCGAACAGTGAAAAGTCTGTCACAGCATTAAAAGAAAAGAAGGGTTCCCTTGGCTCCTCTTACTGCTTTTAGTTGACCGGGACCGGGGGCGCACAAGTGAAAATACGATGCGCGTTGTGTGCACGGATCACTTGTCGTCTGCTCACGATGGTACGTCGCGGACGCCGCTGGGAGGCGCGCATGAGCGACAACGGCTCTGACAAGGCGTTGTTTTCGCCCTTTTTGAACTTTACTTTGCAACTTTATTAGCTCTATAAAAATGACTTGTTAGAGAAATAATGACGGTTAACGTGTGATATACTTTATTTCGCTTCAAAATTCCTGGGACGGCTGTCGCCAACCACGAAACCCAGAGAATGTGACGTGTAGTGAAAGGGAGCGCCGTTATGCGCGCGCATTCGGCACCCCGCGACGCCACCATCGGTGGAGGTGTTTCCGAGTTGTCAAATTAAAATATGATGCGCTAATATTTTCAAACTCTTTCGTTGTCCACTGGGTTTCCGGGACCACTAGCGTGTAGAAACCGCAAAAAAAAGTCGACGCTCAAATACTGTTGGAGGGCCCCTTTAATGCTGCCCCGTTGGCAATGAAACATTTCAGTCGGCAAATAGTAAAACGATAGAGGGGAGGCAAAGCGAGAATGCGTGACGGTTACGCTTAAATCCTGAATATTTTCTATTTGCGTGGCTACGGCGAAACAATGTTTTCGGCCATCCTGAGTGACAAAATTCAAGATGGCGGCAGCCCTGTGAAAAGGTCGTCCACGATGGCCCTAGTACTCACACAACAGCTGTTTCCGATGCGAATATCTCCCAAAAGAACACAACACGATTAAACGAAATTCCTTCATTGTTGCTTGATCTCAATATTCCTCGGGTTGGTTCTGTATCGGCTAAGGGGCCGCAACGCGTTCCTAGAGGCCCAGAACGACCGGCTTGGGCGTAGCACTCTGCAGGGCGGCGACGCTAGCCTCTCTATGCGTGAAGCTAAGGTAGATATGTTCCAGCGACGTGTCGGTGATGTAGAAGTCCTGCAGCTTGAACGTCTTTTTGATCTTGGCCATCCTGTGGAACATCTCGCTCCACAGAAAGCTCACGTGGGTCATGCGAAATTCCAAGAGACCCTGCGGCAGAAAAGGTATAAACGAGGCAGCGGCGACAACTTCCTTTCACAGAATATAAATAGATAATAGGGACTTTTAGCAAACCGGCTACCGTGTTCCGCGTACCGCACTACCGGAGCCATTTAAAGCAAATCGCCCCGATGATACCTTGACCGCGAGGCGCGCGCTTAAAAGCATGTTTCAAAGATACCAATCGCGCGGTATGTGGAACACGGTAACGGTTTGCTAGAAGTCCCCAAAATGGCAGCGACATTGATCTTTAAAGTCTTATAACGCATGGAATGCACCATTTAAGTTGCGATCGTGATATTTGTTTAGAAAATATTAAACTGCGGTTTCGGAGAGCATAAGAACACCCTAGTTCATCAAATCTCCTTTTAAATATATAATGGCAATTTCCGCAATAAATTTACTGGAAAAATTGAATACGTCCCTGGGTCACGTGATGTCAATTTCCTCGATAAATTTAACTTGCAAACCGAATTGATGTAAAGGGATAAATAACATAAATTTTCTCGCCAAATTTAACCGGGACATGCAGAGGAAGTAATTTTTGTAAATAAAAAGCTCCGTAAAAAAAAAAAAAAAAAAAAGAACCTTGCGTGCTTTTAAATTTTATACCATTGATGACTGAAAGCACGTGTGCTCAATCCTACGTTCGCTTCTTAGTGTTTTAACGAGCAAGCACAGCGATATTTGGGGCTCGTGCGACTTTGCGAAGCAACGTGCCCTCGAGGTTCGAATTCAGAGACCTCCTGCAGTTCGCAAGACATTTTTCGTTTTCTTCCGTTCTCAGTCACGTGGGTTTCATATCTGGTATGCGGAACAATAAAATTATAAGACATTTCAACTTGGACTACACGAGAAAACATAGGTGAGGCAAAGCTATAGCGTACGGTCCACTAAAACTGTCTAATGCTTTGACGCATACGAGAAATGACGACACGAGATGGCTGCGCCCCTATGAACAAGGTGTATACTTATAAATTTTACGCGGTATATTATTTCGTTAAGTTTCAAGTAAGAAGACTAAGTTGTAGAGTTCTATCGGCGCAACCGGTTCTGAACCTCGTAGCGCCTCATCGCGGCGTAATGCCGCGCTATGCATTGCAGGAATCAGTGGAACGCAAAATCCATACGCGCTCCGCTCCTGACCCACAGGTTCCCAGAATGCAGCGCGCGCGGTGACAGATTAATGGAACCAGTGTGTGATGGCCGCCTAGCGATGCGCGCCTTTTGAAGAATGCAAATAGAATGCTTCTCGCCTCATTCTTTTAGGGTTGTCACCTGAGGAGACTATGAAATGATTTTTAAAATCCTTCCTCCCTCGCTTTAATTCTCAACTCAAAAGCGAAATGAGAAATCACCCTGGTCGTGACGTCCCGGATAAGATGGCTCCGAGCTTCCACCGTGCATTTTAAGCACGCCGTGAAACTTGTCATTCGCTAGTGATGATTAGAGCCGTCACGGCACTCGTTGACCACGAACGGGAATCCAAATATTCGTCATCCGATTTGTATGTTGACGAGGGCATACATCCGAGAGACGCGGTTTTCTTGTATAACACCTGAGCTAAGTTCGGCTGATGTGCCTGGACACCGCGGATGCGTCACAGTGAAATGGCGGAGAACTTTTGAAGGAAAGAAGGTCATAAATATTCTACTATATATTTCAAACTTTCCTACCGAATGACGGGTTTTTGGCTTTCCCCCTCTGTGTACTAGTTTTGGCCCACTGAGCAATATGCTATTAGTAAAATCCGCACCTGAAATCATTTACCCCAGACCAAAATCATTTCATGGTCCCATTAATCTACGTGCTCTAAGGGTCCTATCCATCTGAATATTATTTGCGAGCCTTTTCGATTGAGTATAAACACTGCAGGGGTTATCGAAGTCTATACATTGTTGAAGAGGACTCTTGCTTCGCTATGAAAAACCGTTCAAATCATACTTTGGTGAAAACCGACGCTAGTTGGAAGAGGAAAAAAGGAAAAAAAAAAGAAGAAATTGTGATGAAATGTGCTTGGTCCACGCCATAAGCATTTAGACCAGTTTGTGGGTTAGATTCCTCCAAGGTCGCAAAGAGTCCGCTCGCTCATGCTATCAGAATCACGCACGCACACGCGCACACGCACACAAACACACACGCACACACACACAAACACACACGCACACAAACACACACACACACGCGCGCGCACGCACGCACGCACGCACGCACACACAAAAAGAACATTTTCAATGCATATTTATTAACGGTGCATTCTCGGTGTCCACTACATTTCGCTACGTTGCCAAGGCTAGCGTGGCTTCCGCGGTGGTCTACACCTGTCAAAGCTAGCTGCGCGACCGCGTCCGAACGAAACGCAAGACGAGCCACATATTAGGGAGTTTTAGAATTGCGCACACTAAAGCATTGCGTACGCAAAGAATAGCGTCGTCGCCACTGCGCATGCTCCAAACGCTAACCAGGTTTTCCGCTTTGCGTACGCTATTTTAGCGTAAGCTATTTTTTCAAAATTGCGTGCGTACGTCAACGAGGTAGAGGGGCTTAGAGCGATGAACCGCGTTTCCGGTCTGCATTCGAAAGTGACCCCCATAAGGCCGCTGCCATTTTACGCAAATTTGACCACTCGTCACATGACCAAACCAAATGCGTGACGTCACAGGAAAGATGGCAGCGCCCAGGCAGCGGCTGGCCCCAGCTGGGCCGGAGCTTGTCGGGTGCTTTGTTCGTTGTCGTTCGTCTCGGCGAGTTGATTTCAGACCCGAAAAACGTCATATGGGGCCGGTCGAAAGTGACTTTAGAGTTCAGCGCGGTGTCTGACATAGGTATAACGTGAAATTAAGGAGGAACGGCTTGCATTTCGCTGGTGACCGACGGGGATATGGCCACGAAAGAAACAATCGGCCCTAGGTTGCTCGGACCTCGGATTGATTTGGATACCACTAGATAAAATTTTAAGGTGACGTTTCTGTGCTCTGTTGACCATCGGAATCTTCGAGGTCTGCAGTGAAGCGTGTGCAATAGATTTCGATACACTGTTTAGCGACGCACATTGCGTGAGTCGTGCTTGGCAGTGTGCAATCGTGGTGCCGCTTCGTTCAAATGCTCGAAGGCTCACTTTGGTTGTGCGGCGCACCGAAGAGCTGCCTTCAATCTGGTAATTCCTGTGCCGTGCTTTAGGTGATGCTGTGCGGCTTCCTAAATTGTTCTGGCGTCGACGTGCAGTTTCACGGAGCACAGGTGTTGCAGTTCGTATTGATTCTGCTGGTCTGTCGCACGTTTCGTCGAAACGAACGTTTCATCAACACTCGTTACGCGAATTGCTAGTTGTATGGACATTTCATCGCGCGTGTTACCTACCCAGTCCTATGATTAAATATCTTAGGAGCTTCCTCGCTAAAAGTTATGGTTATTCGGTGACGCGGGGCTGAAACAACTTCTCCTGGGCCCTAGCGCGACGTATACCTTTCGCTTCGATCCTCAGATATTCCAACATTCAAACGAAGCTAAGAGAATGTGACAAGTTCATGCTAAAAGCACTCAAAGTTCTATCGATCCTCGAACACATCCGGGATTCCGAGCACTGCTACGGCGATACGGCTAATGCTGTCTCATAGCTGTTAATATCCAGATGACCCAGAGCGATCTTGCGCAAAAAGAGTATAAAGTCCAATTCCTTTATATTTTCACATTATACCTGCGTCAGCGAGCACGAAGAAACCGTCGGAAAGCAGCTGCACATCACGGCTACCGCTCACCGAACAAACTCGTATCCGCCAGCTCTGGGCGCTGCCATCTTACCTGTGACGTCACGGCTCTTGGGAGGTCACGTGACGAGTGGTCACATTTGCGTACATCATGGCGGCAACCGGGGGGGGGGGGGGGGTGCCACTTCTGAACATCCGGTTTATCACTCTAAGTCCCTCTACCTCGTTGGCGTACGTAAAGAGTCTTTGCCAACGTTACTAAAACCCTCAGTTGGGAAAATCACCCTTGAAACCAGGGGGGGGGGGGGGGGTAAAGGTGGGTGAGGAGGAGTGGCAAATCCCGCGCGCCGACATCCTGGGTCCCGAGTGAAAAATCGCGAAAGAGAGCGACAGAACACGAGAGAAAGAAAGCAATGTTGCCAGCTGAAGGACGACAGTCGCAATGGTAATCGCGAAGACTGAAAACTCTCAGCAATACAAACAGTGATAATTTAACGTTGCAAACTAAATTCTGTGCTACTCTAAGGTTTATAAAATGCAGCATACTCATTACGCTGCATTAACTTCCCTTCTGTCGAAATCTCGAAAATCTGGTAGTTGCGCGGTTTCGTAATTCCGAGCGCGACCGCCCGCGCCCGGAAATACGAAACTAAACCAAATAACCGAATCCGGTTATCTGGTTTAGTTTAGTGTTGACGGGAGGCCGTACATCTGCGTGCTATGCAAAAAGAAAGCTTCGAAAGGAACGCGGATATCTTTCCACCGGTAAGTTCGTGGATTGTTGAAGTTCATGAAACTGCTCTGATGATATATTTGTGAAATCGAAGGCAGTTGGTAACCATGTGTGACCCCGAGGGTCTGCCTGCATGCTCCGCCGCTTGCGGCAGCCAGAATGCATGGGAAAATGGCGGACCTTTTCCTCTAGAGTTAGTATGTATGATCTCTATGCTTGAAACCTAGGCCGCTGGCGTCCACCGTAGGGAGGCTCTAGTGAGGGTGGGCGCAACTCAAAACCTGGAGAGCGTTTGCAATTCAATGGCGGCGCCTGAGGGAGAGGATTCGAGAAAGGATATGCGCCAGTGTTGCCTGCACGAGAGCAAGCGCCCGCTCTGTTGCAACTCTGTTGCTCCATGCGCCTTTCCTCCTCTCGCCTCCCATTGCAAGCAACGAGCGCCTTGGCGCAGCCTCTCTCGCTTCCTTCTCGCTCCGAGAGTTGCAAACGTCGAGCGGAGAAAGCAGGGTTGCCAAACAAGCAGCAACGTCCAAGATGGCGGAATTTACCATTTTTCGCGTTAAAAAAATATTTAACCTATCGCAACAAAACTGGTGGCTATGGAAAAGTAATCATTTACACCTTGCGTAAATTATTGAAGCACCGTAATGGGCTTTTATGACCTGAGTTAGGAAAGAAAACGACCCTTTTCCCCATAGACTCCCAGCAAAATTTAGCAATTAAATGGCGTCCATGTCGCGTGATCGCCGATCTAGCAGTTGCACCCACCCTCACTTGAGCCTCCCTAGTCCACCGATACGATAACAGCGCCACCCTTTAGCAACGCGTTTCGACGTAAAAGTTGCTTTCAACGTTACTAAAACCCTCAGTTGGGAAACTCGCCGTCGAAACCGGGACCGCTGGCGTCCACCGAGACCGAGCTAAATGCGACAACAGCGCCACTCTTTGTCACTTGTCCGTACTGTGGCCACCTTGAGCTTTTTGAAAGCCTGTTTTTGCGTAAAAACAAACGGAAAAGACTCTTTTTGTATGAAATTAATGGAGTTTAGTAGAAAAAGAGGGGCGCGTTATGTTTTTAAAATCTTTAGTTTGCACGGTTTTGCGGCACAATTAATATTGTTTTTATACAACCATGCCTCAGCGGTCCTTTCAGGTAGCGCGTCCCGACCTAGGTGCATTTTAACTTCGGTAGGTCGGCGCGGCGTGTCCGCGGGGGAGACGGGCGTGGCACCCCTGTAACCTCTTCCGCTGTATCTGTTCTTAAAGCCAAAATAGAAGTCACGTGCAGTTCCTCGAGTGGCCGCTGCGGGAGAAATGGTGGCGTTGTGTTCGTCATTTGCTCGGTGCTCGGAGACAGATTGGGGCCTTTTTCAAAGCTGTCTCTATGGGAGTTTCCCAACTGAGTGTTTTAGTAACGTTGGTTGCTTTGCATAGCTACTGCGAGATGACCCTGCGAGATGGCGCCATCGGCCCTTGCCCGACTCGACGTGCAGCCGTGCAGTTCCCGGAGTGGACGCTGCGGGACAAATGGCGGCATTGCGATCGCCATTAGCTCGGTTCTCAAGTACGGATCGGAGCCACTTTTTTAAAGCAAGCTCTATGGCAGTTTCCGAACTGAGTGTTCTAGTAACGTTGGTCTTTGCGCTCCTCCAAGGTGGATTCGTAATGAGAATTCGGGTATACAGCCAAGACGAGCAGAATTAGAAAATGGTGGCTCCCAGGGACCATGGCTGCGACCGCTTGGGCGGCGTCGTGAGCGCGACGTCGGCGGCATCCTCACGACTGCGATTTTGAATATGGGACGACATTGCACTCGGTTTAGAAAACCCAGTAAGGTGGGCAACGATCACCGGCAACTTGGCCGCTTGCGACGCGCGAACATGTATCCGGCGGTAAGTACACGAGACCTCTCTTGCCGAAACGATGCATGCGGGCACGACCGGTCTACCGCTCGCGTCGCATTTTCCCGTTTAAACAAATGTAAAATGTTACTCTGGACCAAAAACTTGCGTTTTCTTAAGTTACAGTATTTCGTGTGTGAAACAAAAATCGTGACTATCTTGGTGGCGTTGCAAGCGCGAGATGCATGGGCTTTTGCGTGGCGGCGGAAAAACGCTATTCTAAAACTCTCATGCGTCGTGTGCACTAACGCAAGCGCTAAATGTAGCGCTTGCGTGCGCTAAAATTGCGTACGTTATTTTAAAACTCTTCATTCTGTGGCAGCAGTGCGGTGGTACAGCACCATAAATGCTACGGTAGTCTCGGCGACGAGCCCATACTACAAGCGCGAGCTCCGGGCTTTCAGCTTCCCTGCCAAGCACACGCGCTCGTGGATGGCCGGCCGCAGTTCAAGGCCACAGGCTGTTAAAGGTACGCGCTCAGCAGCAAAGACACCACAATGGCCGCTCATGTGAGATCACCGCAAGCCGTCTACACAGGTACAGCAAACGTTGCGCCGTAAACAATGGCGCAATCTACTTTTTTCTACCTACCTGGTGTAGAGCCACACCCACTAGGAAAGCCGAACGCTTTCGAAAGCCTAAAGCAGAAATTGATGAATTGATTTTATCACATTGGTCCTTGTTCTTATCCTTTGATTCTTGAAGCCGGTGAGCTCGATATAGCTGATCTTGTTCTCCCATCGCCGCTATTAATCCAAAAATATTGAAACTTTTGAGATGGCCACTAGATGGCTCTTAATTTTTGAAAAGGGTCTACTATTAACGCCTTCTATAAAGCCCTACCTCGTAGCTGTGGACCAGTTTGGCGTTCCTAAAGTGGGCCTTGACGGCCCTGGCCACTTCCTCCTGGTAGGTCACGTCCTGCTTCTTGTCCGGGTAGGTCTTGACGGTGATGGTGAAACCTTTACCGAACTTCTGCTTGAGGTGCGGCAGCGAGCCCAGGCACTGCAGCCTGCCTTTGCTCAGGATGGCTATACGGTTGCACAGGAACTCCACATCCGTCAGGCTGCGTGCGGTGCGGACAATCGATACAGTCAGCCCCAAATATGGCGCAATGCGCGGGGCTTCTGCGCGGTTATGCGCGTGCCTAGAACGCGCATCTGAATAGTCTGTTTGCAGTGTCCTCTTTTGAGATCCTACGATTTCCGCCTTCTGACGTCACACTTGTCTTATGCGGTGGCCTCTCTCGATCCCGGGGGTGGCACAGCAGCACTAAAGGGCGCAGCGGACGCCTCTTCTGCTAAAGATCGCTCTGGAGTTTGACAGTGCACGGAGGATTCAGCAGCTAGGTGTGGGGATGCCGTGGCGACAAGCGTCGCTTGCGTTTGCTGGGAGGCTTTGGCGAGACTTCTACGACCCAGGACGGCGACATTCAACAGCGTGGTACGCCGGCTCCCCTAGCGCAATTTTTCGCCACTTCGGGACCACTTTCGATGCACGTGGGCTATGCAAGACGCTATAGACTACACCCCAGTAATCGAAGACTCCTTTCAGTCAGCATATCTGCTAAGCGAGGGGGCTGAGATGGCTGTTCGATTCAATCAAGCACGATGTTCTATTGGGAAAACATACATGTGGGATTAGAGGGAATTCGCTTAGCCTAATAAATAGTTATTATTTAATCGGTTGCAATAAATTACGCCAAGTCAAATATCGGTAAAATAAAGTACGGTGTCCCGAAGGGTTCTATCCTTGGCCCGCTGTTATTTTTAATGTATATTGCCATAACTAACGTACGACATAACTAACGTACGACATAACTAACGTACGACATAACTAACGTATCGCTCTCTGGAGATATAATCCTTTACGCTGATGACACTAATATATATATATATTTTTTTTTTCTGGGAAAAACCTACAAGAGACTGAGCACCATACCAATACGTGGCTCAGAAATATATCATTATGCCTCATAGCAGATAAGCTAGAATTATATACTAAAAAAACTAAGTATATTATTTTTAGACCTTGCAATAAATGTGTCGAGCAAGAAATCATCATATAATATCACGGCGATATTATTGAACGGGTTGTTTCGCACAAATTCCTTAGCGTTTTGTTTCACGAAAACTTAAGCTAGTCTTTTCATGTAGACAAACTAAGAACCGAGATCTAGAGCTCCATTGGACTTATCTGTAGAGTTAGACATTCATTGCCACGTCGAATAAAAAAACAGTTATACTACGCATTGGTTCATTCTCGTTTTAACTACTGCCCTACTTGTATGGGGGACAACAACAAAAACAAATATAGACAGCCTATACACACTGCAAAAGCAAGTCTTACGTTTAAAAGAAAATGTACCTTACAGGAGTCGTACTGCTCCGCTTTTAAGAAAGCACCAGTTATTAAAACTGTTAAATGTTATAAAAATAAATTATCTTTAATCATCTGTAATCAAATAGAGCCCGAGACCGAGTCAACAGCCGTCTTTCAACAGTACCTTCGGAGAGAACATACTTACAATCTTAGATCCACAAACTACACAAGAGAAAATGTACGTACAAACTACGGAAACCAGAAACTATCTAACCAAATTACCATCCTTCTGAATGACCATCCTTATCTGATGGCTAGAATCGAAGACAGTGTATCAGTTCAGGCTTTAAAAAGAAAAATGAATATGCACTTTCTCTCATATCAGGAGTGACTGCTTTCTCAGTTTTTCTTTCCTCTTTGGAGTGCTATGATATGTGCTGTGTCATGTTTATGCTTTTTTTATCACAGCATGTTATTTGGTACTTTCTTGACCTTTATGCAGTGCTGTCCCGTGTGCATTGTTATGTTTATGCTTTTCATAGTTTTGTTTACGCTTCGCAAGGTTTCGTGTGTTCCACTCTGAGTGATGTGCGGGGGGGGGGGGGGGGTCGACACCTTGTCAGGCATTTTTAATTGCCTTTTGCGACGGCCCCCTAGACAACTGTTTGATGTAGTGTGTATTATACGGGAGGGCGTAATGCGTATGTGTATTATAAAGTGGGCTACAGAGAGTGTGTGTGTGGGGGGGGGGGGGGGGTGGAGGGGGGGGGGGGGTTCAGCCTGAACTCCTACCCCCCAAAACAAAATTGCCTGCGCCATTTATATGCAGCTAGTTGCCTCTTTGGAAGAAACTGTGGAGTGCCTGTTACCTGTGCGATGTAAGTACAATAGACATCTTGGCTGCCCGCTGGAGGGCACTTATATAGTTGATAATTCTTTTGCGTGCCAATGTGCTGATGCCGACGTAGGGTTCGTCCAGCAGCAGTACTTGAGGCGTGCCGATCATAGACAGGCACAGAGACAACTTGCGTCTGTTGCCGGCACTGTAAAGGAACAGGAAACACCATCGCCGAGCTACAGTCACTTCAGCAAGCAATAGGCTGCTATGGCCAGCGTTAGGAAGTACTTTAAGTACATTCTACTTAAAGACCCACTTCAAGTAGGTTTAGAAAACTTGTACTTCACTTGAAGTACATTATGTGAGCTTTTATAGTTGTACTTTACTTAAAGTTTTTTTTTCTGGTACTTTCCGAATAAAGTAAAACTCCCTACATCAAAGCACAGTCCCCGAATTTGGTCTTGTTAAATTTATATCACAAAATGACGCTTTGTCAACGAAGAAGTGCCTTATAAGTTGATTGTGTTAAATAGTTCATCAGCGAAAGAAAAACAATGCTCTGTGATCAGTTGACTTTATCCAGTATCCGATACCATTTCCCGAAATAACTCATACAATCCTGATTAAACCTAAAGCAATGCAAAATTATAAAAAAAAGAAAAAAAACGGTATGGGGGAATGAATGGGCAGCATAAGAGATTCTGTAAAAAAGTAGTTTTACTTTGCTTTGAAATTATATTGCATTTATGTGTTTAGAGTGCTTTACTGGAAGTACATTGCGCCTTGTATACTTACTACATTACTTGAAGTACATAACCTCTCATTACTTCGTACTCTTCTTCAAGTACCTGTTAGATGTACTTTCTTCAACGCTGACGCAACGGTAAGTCAATACGTTTGTGGTGACATTGTAACAATTCCGAAGAGGTGGTGTTTTCTTCATTTCTTTCTGAACAGATTCGTGACAGCAAAGACTGAACTGGAATTCTAATAATTTTCGCGAGAAAAGAAATTATAGCTTGGACGCTAAGACAATACTGCTTTCGTGCGCAGATGATAAACTAGAGTAACCCCAAGAAAGCAAGACTCCAAGCAGCACGCAAAGCGCCAACAGCGTGAACGTCATCGCAGTAAAAACCTCATCCACTCCCACACTTGCGATGGACAGACAATATAAGACCAGCGTGTCTAAACTGCGCAGATGTCCGGGAGGCCTATAGAGAACCATTACAATAGGGGGTATTCACTAGATGCCACATCTGGAGTCCGCTGTTCATAGTGCACGCTCGGGACGAGCTCGCAGGCTACAGAGACCAGCCATCCTGTTGGTCTGGAATGCAGGTTACAAGGTCACTGTTTGGGCTCGTCGTTACACCTCGCGCTCAGGAGCCATGGGCTGAGGGCTCCTGAGCGCGAGCCCTGAGCCCATGGCTCAGGAGCCCTGAGCGCCATGGGCTCAGGGCTCCTGAGCACTGGTGAAATTAGCTCCTGAGCGCGAAAGCGCTCAGGAGCTATGGCCACCAGTGTGAATAGCCTGCACAACCTTCTAGCCAGAGCAACACTGCTCATACATCATACTAGAGACACGATGTTCGCCGTAGACATGATGACATAATTATCTGGAGACACGACTCACGCATGTTCAAAGCTTGTCTCCTTCATACATATATGTATTCTTTGAACATGTTTGCAGACAGTTCTTGCATGACCAATCTGGCGTGACCGTTATATGATGAAAGCCTTAGACAGTGTCTGCGGACTGTCTTTTGTACTAGGCTTCAGCAGCGTGGCCGTGGCCTAACGGATGTTACCCATCGAAGCCAAGCGTGAGGTCTTATACCTGTACGTTCCCACTAGCTGCTCGGCGATGTCCTCCATGTTGAAGACCTCCAGCAGGACTTCAGTGTACTTTGTCGTGTCGGCGATGCCCTTGAGTTGACAGTGCAGCATCAGCGTCTCTGTGCCCGTCAGGAGGTCCAGGATTCCGTCTCGTTGAGGACAGTAGCCCAGGTAGCTCTGGAACTGTATGCCGCCGCATGATGCCGCCGCCATGCGGCGCAACAAAGGAAAGTTCACAACGCAAGGTACGTCAGCTGAAGAGGAACAGAGCTGGAAACAAAGGGCCCGCGAAGGAGAACATGGCGTAGGCTTTTAACTGCTATACAAAAACGAAGTGCTGGCGTTTCCGGTAAAAATGGGAAAGTAATGGATTAACGTACCGATTATTGAATTAATTCATTAATTGACGTACCAATTTCTTGACCTTTTTAACCAATCAAGGGTGGACCCTAGGAACACGGAGAGAAATGAACAAAAACACAGCGTTTATCCCCTCCTCTATACGTTCATCATCTATGTATAACCTTGAAGAGCCGTCAGCGAGCTTGCCGCTGGCTATTTGTATCATATTACAAGATTTTCATGTGCCCTCGTGCATCTGCATATGATAGTCCTGCACTGAACAAGTAAAATACAAAACAATATATGATTTAAATTTTGTTCCTTACTAAGTTATCAGGGCATTTTTCTTAGAGGGGCAAGGGGGTGAAGGGGGAAGGTAGAGGAGTACTTCTGAGCTATACCAAATACTTTAATAGAAATAATTCCTCCCTCCCCGCTCATCTGCATAAGACAGTTCCCGCCGGGCCAAATTATCTCCTAGCGGTTTGAGCGTTTCGCTTCAGAGAGAACACATGCGTATAGCACTATCCGCGCTCCCAGTGTGAGGGTTACCGCCGGCGCACGTAGACATCAAGTTCACACTGGCGCTAGAAGAGATAGATGGCGCCAGCCACTCCTCCCAGTTCCATAAAAAACCACCAGGCTGCGGCACGTCCAGCCGTTCGAACTACACAAAACCTGCCTGCGCCAGGGCCATAGGATTTTCGCAGAGTTAGATTCATTTCCGCATACTTTGTTGTAGTTTAAGAAAATCAGGACAAGCCTTCCCGCAAAGCCCTCCACACTTTCCACTTTAGCAGAGTGAACGCTGGAGTGGACTCGCCTCCTTTCCAGGTTTCGCTCTGCTATAGCAGAAAGAGTGGACTGCTTTGTGGGAGGATCATCTTCTGCTTTCCGTAGCCATGCAGCAGCGGAGTATAGTCATGTATCGGGTAATACGCACAGATCTGGTATCCTTGACGACAGAGAGTGTGTTGATGTACGCGTCGCCGCAGGCAGGCATGAAGTAGCCCGTGAGGATCCTGAAGGTGGTCGTCTTGCCGGCCCCGTTTACGCCCAGCAAGCCGAAGCACTCCCCGGTCCGTAGGGTGAAGCTGAGCCCCTGCAACACGGGCTTCTTCTCCCACCAGCCGTACGCCTTCGTCAGGCGGCTCACAAACATGGTGGTCTTGTGGACCGGCGAAATAGGTATCGAGGACGCTTGGCGAGAGGACTGGCCCATGCCCTCTACCAGCTGATTCTCCCGGACCACGTCAGAATCTTCCGCCCGGTGCTGCGAAGTGTAAACCGAACGTGCAGCTCACTTTTTTATCTCCAACGGCCAGGGCAGCTGGATACCGCTTGACCAATGCATTTAATTCGCTCGTTTGGAAACGAACGTGAACTACGTTATCAACTGCCCGTTGCCTCTTGCTAAAAAGAAATAATCGTAGAACTGAAATTCTAGAAGCACAATAAGCTACACCGAGTGTCCCATGGACAATAGATGCGAAAAGGAGTCACACGGGGGCAACTTCAAAATGGCATCAAGGAATTGCTTTATTTAAATCACCAGAATGCTAAGGTTCTATACTCCGTTTCACTTTAATTGCGACCGCAACCAAAACTACAATCCAGTAGAGTCAATGAAGCAGTGATAAAAGTGCATCGTCAAGGCGCTCGTTGTCTTATGAATTCGCTAGTAACCCTTCAACCAATGACGCGAAAAAAACAAACAAACAAAAACGCATGATTGTGGCGTATTTATCTGACGCGACTGGTCTAGTCGGTGATTGGGAATGCACTTATGCGATGAGTGATGTGAGGTAGAAATTTCGACGTTGCTTAGTTTACTCTATCTGAACGGCCAAAATACGTAAAACGTTTTAGGTCTAGTCTTTTTTTTTTTTTTTTTACACAGGTATAATTACGGGGTTTACACTGCAAGCCTTTTGTCGCTTACATCCTTCGTAACACTTCAACGTTATAAAGTTTAGAACAACCAGTCCTGATGCAGCTTTGCAATGTTCCTTGCAGAAGAACCAACGATAAGAAGAAAAAGTTCCGCGCGAGTTCATAGCGACTTTTAGCAAACCGTTACCGTTTTCAGCGTACCGCACTACCGGAACCTTTGAAGCATGCTTTTAATTAGGCCCGCGCCCGGGTGATACGGTGACCAGGCTCCAGTAGTGCGGTACGCGGAACGCGGTAACGTTTGCTAAAAAGTTCCTAATGTGTACATGACCGCCATTACGAGAAGAAAACCGCTGCTTTTGCTAAATAAGCTAAGCATGTTTTCCTGGCTTAGCGCTTAATAACACCATTCTCATAAGGACTACAATCGAGAGATCTTCCGCGGAACGATAGCGAAGCGAAAAGAAAAAAAGTCAAAGCCATTCCTCATTCTTTTTTTCTTGTCCTGAAGCCAGCACCATGGTCACTACTTTCAACTTTCACCAGTTCACTTGCGTTCAAACCATATTATGCTTTACATTTAAAAAGACTCCTGATTTTAAGTCAAAGGGAGCTCTATCAGCTGACCAAGACGCCCCCGTGATGCGTACAAAGTGACGTCAATATTTACCATTTATATTGAACTATTCTTTGTATCACTAACTGCAAGCCATAGCCTCTCGTATTTGCCTATGTGCGAGTGTAGATACAGAAGCTACAAAAGCCAGCTCCGGGATTTCCGCACCCCTGCCAAGTACACTCACTCGCGCATCGCAAGCATCCTTGAAGGCAACATGTTTATAGTTGTAGCTTCGGCTTCGTTCATACATAACTAGGCGTATTGCTAAATTACCCGAGCATCAAGAAGAATAGACCGATCTCACCGGCCAGTTTGACAACGCCACCGCTGCCGCAATGCATCAAGAAAATTTTAGTCTTTCTGCACGTGCCCGAATCTCGCTGGAACACTGCACGTGAAGGGCGCGGGACGGCTCGAGCCGTCTCCAACACTCCCGCCTGCTTCTTGTGAACTAAAGCATAGCCTCCTCTGTACTCACAAAGCCTGTCAGTTCGACGACGTAGTCATAGAGTACCCGGTGGTGGATTTGGAGCGCGAGGATTTGGTACCACAAAGCACTTCTCGGGGAAGCTGGACGTCAGCCCACAGAGTTTGCAGCGGCAAAGACCCGAAACATAGTTTTCAAACTCGACGAGAAAAGACCTCCAGTGAATACCCCATATAGATGTTAGCTAGTCTTTTGACAGGTTACGTTTTACATATTACAATCCGTTTCTTCTTTTCTACAGCGGAGCTGTTCAAGGCTAGTTTCCCCAGTTTCGTGTCCGTCACTAAATAAATGTCGACACAAAACTCTGGACAGCAACCGCCATCTATGAGCGATGGCGGTAACCAGACAAATGGCTTGACGGTTGTCTGGTTGCCGCCGTCGCCCATAGATGGTGGCAACCTTTCTAGCCTTTCCACTATGGTTTTCACCAGAGTGGAAAGGCTGAATTTCTCTAGGCGTCGTCCTAAAAGTCGTCCTCAAGGTAGTCTTAGAAGTCGTCCTTGAGATCGTGGTACAATAGTACAGCTTCGCTGCTCTTCCTTCTTCACAAAAGTGAAAGGCTATATATATATATATATATATATATATATATATATATATATATATGTATATATATATATATATATATATATATATATATTTTTTTTTTTTTGAACAACGCCATTTTTAGTTTTACAGCGCTCCCTGGGGGGAGTGCGCCGGAACCTGCAGCCTCGCTGGGTTGGGGCGGAAGCTGCCCTTTTTCACCTGCCATTGACGTGCGAAAATGACTGCGTCCGATGAAATAAAGTTTCATGATCGCCTTGCGCGTCTTCCTCCCGTTTGCCCAACCCAGCGAGGAGAAAAGCGCGCGTGCAAGCCCTTTTCCAGTTCTCTCTCGCCCTCTTTTAGTAATGCGATCTAGCTGGCCGGGTTAAAATTGCGGGGACCAAAATTTCCGTGTGTGATGCAATTTATCTGAAAGAATAATCCCACACTGTAGAAAGAATAATGCCTTTCGTCTTTTTTCTTCGTTTTTTCCCCTTTCTTGTTCGTTACGACGTTACAAATGACAACGCTCTGGTTTAGCTCTGTTGCATTGGCCTCACCCTGGACGGCCGCGGGGCCAGGCTGGAGGTGACGCTGATGGAGGACTTCTCCTTCGGCGCGCTGAGCATGCTCTCGGTCCTGTAAACCCAGCGTGACTCAAAGAACATGAGCAGCAGGAAGAGGACGCAACCCTCGACGGCCAGCGTGACCACTTCGTAGTAGGCCGAGTAGTGGTGGGCCGACAGGGGCTGGATCAGGATGTGCTCGAAACGCTGGTGTTCGGGCGCTGAGAGAAACGGCACGAACGACACACAGTCATGGAAACGACGAGCACGAAACCGAGAAAGGACAAAAAGGGCGGTGAAACGATAGTTTGTTGGAATGTTTCAGCTTCACACGAGCTTCCTGACACTATAGTGGGGACGCTAGTATACTCGCAAGCAACGCCCCTGACCAAGAAATCTCTTTGTTGCGGAGTAAGTTCAAGCATAAAAGCGAGCGTTTTCTTTCAATCTCCCTTTCGTGAAACTTGGTGACGTAGTTTGAGGTCGCAGTTTTGGCGTAGTCCCCTGGTGACGACATTTGAATGCTGCTCGTAGATTGTACCCAAGTGTTGCGTGAGCACTCGGTTGTGGCTTGCGATAATCAATGGCTCTACAAGCATTCGCATATTGGCTCGTGTCCAATCTTCGTAATTACGACCGCAGCCGAACCATAATAACAATGTTTCGAACTCAGCGCGTGTCCTGTGCGATGCCAAGGCTCAGCGCGTGACTATAACCACTAACACCTTACCAGGGACCCATATGAAGGAAACTCTAAGTGGTTCGATACATTATTCCGTCTTGTGCACGTAGTATACATTAAAACACAAAAACGTGGTGGTACCGTCCGTCACATCGATTTGATTAAAATTATCGCCAATTTACAGGGTGGAAGACAACAGTATCATTTATGTTCCATTTGACCAGGAAAGTATATATGTAAGAAAACCATGACCAAAGATAAAATTTACGTGTGCGTTTTTTTTTTAAAGAAAACTACATATCGCAATATGATTTCATATAGTGATTTCATATGATATTAGGGGGCATAGGTCGTATGGGTACGGCATAGAGTCTTATGATGTACGCTGGGGGTTCAACAAGCGATAGTGTCTATATGCGACGTCTGAGAGGTAAATAGAAGCAGGTAGCAGAAAGTCTACATTTGCGGTGCTCCTGAGCATTCCTATGAGAAAACGGGCATGCATTTTGTCTCTTCGCGAGAAAATAACATGGAACACTTTTGTTATTAGGGTCGCACCGAATGAGATGTGCCTTTACTATCAAATGCAATTGCTTTATTTAGCGCAAGTTCCTTCATCAGTGAACCATGTTAAATTTCGCAATATTTCAGGCCCATACCTCTGTAGTGTTGACGATTGGGCTAGTTGGTCATTCATATTAGCGGAAAACAAACAGCGCAAGGACAAGGACAGAGTAGAAGGTGGTAGACACACACAGCGCTGTGTGTGTCTACCACCTTCTACTCTGTCCTTGTCCTTGCGCTGTTTGTTTTCCGCCATACCTCTGTTCCACAGCAGGTGTGTAAAAACAAGCGACGATTATAAGAAAAATTATAATAAAAAAGAATAAATAGCGTGTTCAAGGCTCACCAGCATTCCGGTGACGCTTATTAATTGCTAAAATGTCAGTCCTGTCACTATATGAAAATGACTCCGTCGTGCATCTTTACGAGCGGTTAAAATTGTTCAAAACGTAAAGAATAAAATATGTTGGCTATGAAACGTGTCTCTTTTATTATTTTCTATGCCGGGCAGCCTTTATCTGGAACTTGTTATCAAAAATTTCGAGCGTGCGGGTGATGTTTTAAAAGCAGAACAAGCATGTTCGCACAGAGCAGAAAGAATAAAGCAGCACTTACTTATTAAAAATCGGATTGTATTAGGTTGCGTTCAATGAATTTTGATCGTACATGCACAGGGAGTTACTGATCTAGTGTTACTGCGTAGTTCTTGCCGTCTTTCTTAGTTTTCCAGATGTCCTTTGCTCGTTTGGTACGTATATCCCTCATGCTGAAAAGCGCCGACGTCGTGTTCGCGCTAACAGTGCCCGACAGTGCACATAAATGCACGTACGAAGCCGTTTTAGCACTGTTTTTATTGGGATGAGTTTGAAAGAAAAACGCCGTAACTGACCAATTATTTCGTTTGCGTGACTGAATAATGTTTGAAGCTATCTAGTACGTACGAGTTATTCGGGCTATTTATTCTTATAATTGAGCGGAAGGAGAAAATGACACTAACTCTTTCCATAGAACTGGATTACCGCAGGTCAATTTCGACTGGTTGCTGCCTGCTTCCATTTGCCACAGCACACTAGCGCCAGTAGAACCTCTAGCGTACATTATATAACTCTATGCTGTGAACACACCAGGAACGCATCTCCAACTGGTGTGTCCACAGCATAAAAAAAGGACCCTTCGATTTTCGCCTGATGACGTCACCGAAGTGTCATGCTGTCGCCCGACGCGATCCTGGCGGTGGCACAGCGGCGCTGGTAGAGGCGGCAGACGCCTGTCCTGCTACAGGACGCTTCCTATAGTTTGACAGACCACGGAAGCTTCAACAGCAGGAGTTGGGACGCCACGACGACGGCGACACTCACGCTACCTCGTGCTTTCATCCGGAACTTCTACGCCCAACCGCCTAGATCGCGACATCCGACAGCATGACACTCCAGCTTTTTTTGGGAAGTCGTTTTGTTGCCACCTCAGGTTCACTTTCGATGCATGGGTGGAATAGGACATTAAACTCACCTGTCAAAGACGCGTTCCAGTCGTGGGCGCAAATAGTTTTTTTTTCTTCTTTTTAATAAGCAAGAAACACTTGAACTGTACTAATACGGCAACAAATGTCATTGGTCGCGGGAGGCCCGTCCGCAGGAAATATACAGTTAGATAAACAAAAGTTACAGGAAGATCCTACGCATTAACTCTCCGTTAATGCGTAGCATGACGCTTGTGAACGCCGCACATATCCCCCTTTAGGAAACGCTCACTCTGACACCTTCACTTTTGCTTTCGGCTTTCTCTTTTGCTTCCTCCATTTTTTGCTGCCTCTTTTTTGCCCTATTACAGGGTCAGTGTTAGCGTTTCCCAAAGGGGGAGATGTTTGAATTTTCCTAAAGTTCATGCTAACGGATTCCTAAAAAAATCCACCAACAGATCTTCCCGTAATTTGTATCACCCCTTTTTTGTCCTGCCTTGTTTCGGCCTGTCAGAGTACGTCGACGCCCTTGAATACGGTCATTCATATCACTCGAGGAAAGAACCACATCCATACAACTCGTGCAATGAGTTGCATCGATCACTTTAACAAAACACACATCTTAGCCCCAGGCACCGCTACTAGGGAAACAGAGCGACGAACAACCGGCGACGACAGGGCATCAACAGAGCAAGCCCGCAATCCACCGCACCACCGCGCAACACCTCCTAGATAACAAGGCCGTAGTGCTGAATGAGATGGCGCCATCAGATAGTGGCAACGCTCGGCACAGATTGGACACGACGATTGCGTCGGCTCAAACTTGACTCCAAGCCGAGCGCTGACGCATCACTCGTTTCCAATCTGTGTCCAGCGCTGTCCTTCTCTGATGACGCCATCTCATTCAACACAACGGCTTTGTTATCCGCGGCGCCTCCTTCTTTGTGGCTCCGCGCCAGCTGTGCCCTTGGCTTTGCCGAAAACGAAAGGGCTCGTTTGAACGAAAATCCCGCGGTGTCTGTCAGTTTGTCAGGGCCGGGGAGAAAGAGAGAGGCTGACGCGTGCTCACGTGAGCGCTTCGGACCAATAGAAGCGTCGCACGCGACAACTGACAAACGAAAGACACCGCCGGGTTTTCGTTCAAACGAAAGCTCTAATGCTAACGAATTAGAAACGAGTCAATTGGTTTTAAATGCTATAGATGTCATGGACGCCGGCGAAAACTATTTCCAGAATTCCCACAGAAGTTTCTTGAGCATTTAAATAAAGAAAACATTCTACTAGGCGATGCAAAATTTCTATCGCATTAAATCTACAATCAATGGTTTCTGAGCAGCGTTCACGTGGAGCGAATGCGCTGCTTGAAACCGTGTGATTTTCGCGTGTTCACGCCTTTGTGATCACCTATTCTCCTGGAACATATACTATACACCAACTCATGTTTACAAACAAACCGGAGCGCCCCTAGCGGACGCCACCGGCGCCGCGCATGCGCGATGGGGGTGTGGGCAAAAAGCTCGCCGTCGCCCATAAACAAACCATTGAAATGCGATGTTGTCGGCGTCGGTGTGAGTCCCCCTGCCCTTTTTCGCGTTCGAATTGTTGATTCTACGTCTTCCTGGCGATGTCTGACTACTTGAGCGGTGTTAGCGAAATTATTGAGGCTCGTTACTCCGCGAAACTTCGCGTGAATAATGTGACATGTGGCGATTCATTCCGCGTGGACGCCGCAGTATGTACGCTAAAACCTGATTCGCATGATGAGATTTCGCTCGCAATTTTCAGTCGCGATGCCGCTCGGGCTGCAAAAGCTTGTACCGTAGCTGAGATAGTCGACGTCGATACTGAAAATCGCAAGTAGAATCGGATAAAGTCAATTAGGCATAGCAAGTCAGTGATGGTCACTCGTTACAATGATCATCTCCTTGTATTTACTGTTTACATGGAGCCTGCTTACCAACCTTCAAACTTAAGTCTTTTGAGGCCTGCACTTACTTCGTATAGCAAGTACCGGGCCAACATTTAATCTACGGCCGGCGTCGTCTAAGAGAGCAGACGACAAGCAGAAACGTTTGAAAGAGCAGACGACAGTTCGAACGATCAGGCGGCCGTTTGAGCTTGAAGACGCACTGAACGTAGTCCGCAGGTGGTCCGCACAACTTGATGGTTTTCTGGCGTTCATGTTGGAATAAAACAAATAAATCTGATGACCACAAGTATCCGTGAATTCAACTCAAAGTGCTTCCCGCCCAAGCAATCGTTGTCCGACGGCGTCTGCTTTTCCCTTTTCACGGCACATATCCAGATTCTCGGACGAATCGAGCACGTGAAAACTGACATTCAAACCTTTCTCGACTCTTTTTTTACGGCCTCAGTCCCGGCGTTTTGACGAGAAGATAGGTTTTTGTCTGGTTTCCTTCAAAACAATGCAGGAATACACGTCTGGCATGGGGACTTCTGCCCACAGCCCCAGACCGGAAATGCGACCGACGCGCCACCACCGCGCCGTGACGTCACACAGATGAGTTGGTGTATAGACGCTTTCAGCGAGTCAGTTAATCGAGCTGCCACCAGTCGGCTCGCCCTTCGCGCGCTTTCCGGGCCGCCATAGCCGACCTTGTTTCTCGCCGTTGCTCCGCGTTGTGTGCTGTTCAGGCCACTACCGGAGCTTATTTTTCGTGTTCTTTTACGTTGCGCGTTAAAATCTTGTAATTGCTTTAGGCCTTTTCGATATTTAGGACTTTCATTTAATCAATTGATATCTATATTTCGACATAGCTCTTGTATTTTCTTATTTATCGAATGGAATCGGACAGCGAATGGGTCGACGATACAAGATTATGAGGCTTCAATGACCATGTAAGTTCATGCCATTCTTACGTTTTTGTCGCTAATAAAGGGCAGTCAACACTATTGCGACATATGTAAATCGCAACTGACGCAGTAAGGCAATGACAGTCGTGCTTCTCGCTGCATGTGCGCGCTAGTTTCCGTAAAGCCGACCCGCGATTTAGCGCGCGACGAGACGAGCGACGGAGAATTCTCACCGTCGCCCGTCGCATCGCTCGGTTTTGGGATTTTTAGAAAACGTCGCTCACCGTCTTGGTCGCTTGCTCCGTCGCTTCCATGTAGTTTGCCTCGTCGCGCGACTGACTGAGCGGCAGCGAAGCGGGTCGCTTATCTGATCGCTCGCCAAATCGCTTACATGCGGCTCATACTCAATTAATTTCCATGCACACACCATTGAACCATCGGCGCCTCGATATTAAGTATAAACCGCATGCAAGCGATTCGGCGAGCAACGAGACAAGCGACAGTGACCCGCTTCGCTGTCGCTCGGGCAGTCGCGCGACGAGGCAAACAGCATGGAAGCGACGGGAGCAGGCGACCAAGACGGTGAGCGAAGTTCTCTAGAAACCCGAAAAACCGAGCGATGCAACAGGCGGCAGTGAGAAATCTTCGTCGCTAACTCTCGTCGTCGTCGCCGTCGCTCGTATCGTCGCACGCTAAATCGCTTACATGCGGGTAGGCTTTACGGAAACGAGCGCGCACAAATCAGCGAGAAGCAGGACTGGATAGTCAGTTGAAATTTGCATATGTCGCAATGGCGTTGACTGCCCTTCATTAACGAGAAAAACGTTAGAATGGGATGAACTTACATGTCCTCTGAAGCCATAATCTTGTATCGTCGATCCATTCGCTGTCGGATTCCATTTAATAAATAAGAAAATACAAGACCTATGTTGAAATATAGATATCAAATGATTAAATGAAAGCCCGAAATATCGAAACGACCTAAAGAAAACACGCGATTTCAACGCGGAACGTAAAAGAACGCGAAAACAAAGCTCCGGTAGCGGCCGGAGCAGTACACAACGCGGAGGAACGGCGAGAAACTGAAGGGCGGCTATGGCGGCAGGGTCACGTGACGTCAAGATGGCGGCGCCCATGAAATGTTGCCTGAAAGGGTCTACATTTCAGCTTCAGTCCCGACGGAGCCGACGCTACGAGTTAATGGGACCAATCAACCAGCGTTGAAGCGCAACTCACTACGCCTTTTTAGTTTATGATTGGTTCAGCCATAATAGATCACATACAGAAATACAACAAACACCATGATGGTGCTCTTTCGACAAAGTCTGAATGGTCCCTTCAGCTCGCAGCGTCAGCTGCGTCTAAACTTAAGGTAAAACGAAGTATAGAAACAATCTAAAACAAGCGCATTTACTCCTCTGAAAGTAAAACAAACTATGTTTCGAAAAAAAATGCAAGCATATTCAGTGGATCTTCCGAGTGTAAGTGGGAATCTCACTTTCGCAGCACAGCTTGAGCGCTGGCTTGAAGTCGATTGCATGCGTGTGGCAGATGCGCTCGAGGTCGACGCCACCTTTGCGGCAGATGGCGTTCTCCCTGCTCAGCTCCAGGATCTTGGTCATGCCGCGGGAGTAGGAGAAGGAGGGCACCAGCCGCATCACTTGCAGCATCACCTCCAGAGCCACGATGAGAAAGGGAGCCTTCAGGTTGTGCGAGAAGTGCTCCATAAACACGGTCGCCAGGCTGCCCAGTAGCGCTGCGAACGCCGGAACGACATTCAACGCCGGCTAACGCATAGACCTGTAGCTCTCAAATTTGGAGCGGCGCCCCTGGCGAGGAAAGTCGGATGTCTTTTTAGGTCGCGTGTCGTTTGTTCCGTCCGTTCAAACGTTTTGCTAGTGCCCGTAGACGGGCGCTGAGGGTCAATGAGACGTTAGTTTGCACTGGTGGGTCCCACGTAATGGAGCGCTAGGACGCCGCTTCACGTCAGCACCGAAAGGCCACGTCTCGCGGAGACTGGCAGGGGCGCTTTTGTGGTCGCATGTCAAGACGCTACAGCGCCCCCTAGACAAGAGATACAGGCCTATAGGTATAAGGGTATGAGTTTGACGAACTTTGGGGGTCCAAATCTTCTGACACTCCCCCCCCCCTTTGTTTTTTTTTTTTTTGTTTTTTTTTTGGGGGGGGGGGGGGGGGGTTACATGCGTAAATTTTTCGGGCAGAAGGGAGGGAGGGTGCTTTCTCAAACATTTGACAAGCTGACGCCCCTAGACCCACTAGATAAGCTACGCTTGAGACTAACGAGACTTCGGCCATCTCGTGATCAAACTCATGGTTGTTAATTATCTGAAGCTTTATCTGAAATCGCTGGAGACGCTTTTCCGTCTTCCAGAAACGCTAGAAGAGTTCGCCACAGAGCAAAACGGTATCACCTGAGCTTCCTAACACCGTGGCTAAAGCTGAGGGAGTCGCATGTTGTAATTGTGACGATCGTCAGTTGCGTCTGCTTTGCTCTAAGCACCAAGATGGCGGCGCCCACTAGCAGATCGGGGAACGGTGTGCCGATGCTCAAAGCGCAGCTCATTCAGTAGCTCTAGATTCCCTCTTACGAAAAACTTCCATCCGCCTTTGTTTACCACGTCCTTTGTTGTTCCTCTCGATGTCCGCTTGACCTCCTAGAAGCTTGTGACTAGCCACGATCTTTGCGGTGGTGCAGCAGCGGAAGCGGATATGACAAACGCTTAGGCCAAAAACACACGAGCAACAAAAGCCACAGACTTATTATGTTAATATATACGCAAACGTCCCACGGATTTCGGCCCCTTCGGAACGGCGGGGCGTAGACAAGGGCATCTGAGGCCCCATAAACCACCGTCGCCATTTTGGGACCACTTTTGGTACGTGGGCGGTCTCGAACGCTACACACATACCCGGCGAGGACGCGTTCTAGGCAACGCAATGTAGGCAATACTAGCAATAGCGCTGACTTCCCAGGGATCTGGAATCATTCGGGCTGCTGTACTTTTACCTGCTTCCGCGGTGCACTGTTTTCCGAATATGAGGATTTATTTTTTAGCGTTATCATGCTTCGAATCGAATACCACGATAGAGCACAATAAATACCGATGGCTGTATTCCTATCACTCTCAAAAAGAAAATAGCTGGTCATAAAAGAACTCTTTCGGGTTTTTCGGCTTGTTCATGGTTTTCTCCTTGAAAAGTTATTTTAAGCACCCGCTAAAAGGTTTTCGTGAAAAACCTATAGGTGTTGTTTTAGCTCCTTCTTTTGATGCGAAAGGGTTCTTCATCGCACAGTTGTCTTTCTAGTGCGGCAGGGGGCAATAGCGCCAGGGGCGAAACCGTTCTTCACAAGCTGAAAGTGTCCGTGAGGTGTCAAAGAACTTTTCAACGATCGATGTTTTTTTAGAGTGTAGAGTAACACTTAATTTTACGCCTAATCGTCTCAAGGATAAACGTCGAAAACCAAACAAGCAGTCAGAATCGACGTCAACGCATGATTAGACGCTCTTTGACGGATCCAAAAAGAACGGTTTAAAATGTCACAGATTAGCTAGTCATTCAGTTCTTCAGCGTTAGTGAGAAAGTGAATGGAAAATCGCCGGGCACAATATGATGCTCACATAGGACGAAGGAATAGATAGCAAGCATCGAATAGCCGAAGGTCGGATTGTCGAAGGCGAACGACATGACGTAGATGCCCGGAAGTGCTGCGAATCCGTGCAATAGGTTCAGCAGTACGATGCTCCCTGCAAGAACAAAAAAAAAAAACTATTGGTCAGGCTGACGGATTTAAATCCGTCCAAGATTTTTTTTTTTCTGTCGTAATCAGGCTTGCGGAAGTAGTTGCAATGGATTCATTACAAGTCGTCTAAAAACCAGTCACAGTGGACCTTTAACTCCCGTCTAGTATAGAGTTTTAGCACGGCACCCGGTACTCGCTTCCGACTGATGTGTTTACTGCGTCCAAAAAAGTAGTCCCCTCGATTTCGGTTTCATGACGTCATAGAAGCGTCATGTCGCAGGCCGCGATTCTGACGGCGTCACAGCAGCGACAGTGAACGTGACAGACGCCAGTTCTGCTGCAGGTCCCTCTCCATCATATGTTGCCACGGAAGCTTCGGCAATCAGTAGTTGAGGCGCTGCGACGACAGCGAGACCCACAATTGTTTGTGGTTTTTTTCCCCCGGAACTTCTACTACCAACCATCAGGATCGCGACATCCGACATCATGGCTGGCACTCTGGCTTCTGTGACGTCACTCGTTGCCACTTGGGGACCCCTTTTCGATGCATTGGCGGGACAGGACGCTAAGTGGACACGCAGTCGAAGACGCGCCCCGGCAGGCACCGTAGTCTGAGGAACTTACGAAGGTCTGTGTCCGTGAAACTTTCGGCCTGCAAAAGAATAGGTGGGAGCACGAAGAGCGCCGTGCCCATGTAGAATAAGAAGTCCCAGAAGAAGTGGACGGACCAGTAGAGGAGCGTGCTCACGCCACCCATGAGGTGCAGGTGCTTCACCTGAGTGAGAGCGAAATCTTCTAAAGCTCTATTGAGATGTACACCGCTTTAAAAAAAAATCTTAACGTTGATCAGAACTTAGAAACAGAGAGAGAACCCAAAGAACATCGTCGCTTCACTACTGGGCTGTTGAAAGCGCGACCGGTAATGGCACGCATTCTCTTGTTGACATGTAGCGTGTTAGGGGGAGGCACATTTAGAGCGTCGAACCCCTGGCGGCAAAGTTTAACACTTGATTGACGTAGCCGCTAGGGACCAATGAGTAAAGCACCGGTTGAACGAGAGTTCCAGCCGAATCTGAGCCGAGAAAGATGAAGAAAAAGATGCAGTATCTATGCACGCTTTGCTTTGGGTCCCAAGCTCTCTAAAAAAAAAAAAACGCTGGGCGAAGCGTCCCCTTCACCAATGCCTTTCCACACATTTTAATCCACTCATTTGGATTTTGGTCTGGATGCTGTAGGCAGTACGCCTACATAATCCAAACCTGTGGAGACAGCCCCGAAAGAAGGCGCAATGCGCTGCGCCGAGGAAAAGGGCTGCCGCCAGCCAATGCGCCGATATACCGGATTCGCCAAGACATCGTCTGCTCTCTAAAAGGCACGACAATTTAAAGGAAAAAATTCCAAGCCTGCACCCGTCCCAACATCCCTACCGTGCAAAAGCTGTCGACACCAAGGCACTCAATTTTCGCCAAGTAATACCTATATTTTTACGGGCAGCCCTAACCGCAGTTAAGTGTTATTGTGTACATGGATGAATGAATGGATGGATACTCGTAGCCGTACACTTTATAACGAGCGGGAACTTGCGCTACCTAGCTTAGAATTTAACTGATTTAATTAGATTATATTTAACTGCGGTTGATGTGGCCCGACGGGCATCCTGAACCGCAGCTACGCTCAAGTAATCCTAGCAGTCAAGTCTGGTCTCAGGGTGCCGCCATCTTGCTCAGTTGGGTGCGCTTGGGTGCGGCCATAATCTGATTACGACGCCTTAACAAGGCTTCGTAATCAGATTATGACGCGTCCAAGCGCAACCCAAGCGAGCAAGATGGCGGCGCCCTGAAGCCGGACTTGCAAGCGTGTATACCCTAGCTACATGATCCTTAAGGGCAGTTAAGTCTGACCTCAGTCACACTTAACTGCGGTTCGGGGTGCCCATATGATATAAGATGCATTCCTTAGTAAACTATTTGCCCTTCAGTTGGATCTCCTTGCCAATACAACACTCGTTTTCGTCGTCGTTCTGCGGTTGCCTGTCGCGCAGCCTAATTTTCTTGCCTGCCGCGTGTGGAGCCTCCGAACTTACCTGGACCACCCGCTCGGTGATGGGGAAGATGACGAAGTTGCTGCACATGAGGCTGGACACCATGGGGAAGAGGATGGAGCGCAGAATCTTGGGCATCACCTCGCGGTACGTGTTCTGGTTCTGCTCGGCCTCGCCCTCCTCGATCAGGGCCACGGGATGCGCGCGTACGCTGAATGTCATGCGCGACCTGGGGCTCCCAGTCAAGTTGCGCAACCGTGCCGTGTTGTACGCCACGAGCACCAAGAGGCCGGCGTGGGGGTTCTGCCCGTTGTACCACAGGAGCGTTCTGCGCATGCGCGATTACTATCCCATGAGCCGAGCCTGTCTTACTTCGTCTTCGTCCTTGTTGTTTACGACGCTCTTATTCTTTTTTAAGCTAAGCACCAACTAGCCCAATTAAACCCTTTGCTAAGCCTGAGCCCGGTTTCTTGTCCACAATACAGCGATGGCTACAGTGGCTACAGCTCGTACTGGCTTTTGTATTAAACATGGAATGCTCATTCATAGCGTTTGTCCGCTCGACCGTCTGTGCATTTCCCCGGTAATTAAGCGAGTAAATCACCGTCACGTGACCTATACAGTATACGTCCTAATTCAGTTTCCACGCTAAATTTAGCGGAAAAGTTGGCGTGAAATGACCAATATCGTCACTTCACTACTGGACTTTTGGGAGCGCGACAGGCGACGGCATGCTTTCCCTTGATGAGTGGTAGCACGTTATTGGGAAGGACATCTAGACCATCGGGCCCCTGGCGCTGAAGTTGAAAACTCAGTGGACGTAGCCGCTAGGGCTCAATAAGAAAGGCAGAGATTGAACAAGAGCTCCAACCGAACTCGGCAGTTGTGCTTAATCTGGGCCGAGGAAGATGACGAAAAGAATGCAGTCTCCGCACATTGTTTTGGGCCTTAATCATCAATTTTGTTTCCCGGTAAGTTGACATCACGTGACCCGATGTCACGAGGCGTGCATTTTTGTGATGAATAGGATGGGAAATTATTAAAAGATAGGCTCTTATTCATTTCCCGAGACGACCGTTTAATGTGTCTTCTAAATAAAAATAAACCCGCTTAAACACCAAATTCCAGGCATCATAGTGATTTTGAGATATAGATCACGGCCTATTTTGTTTTCTTTTTTTATCTTGTGGTTAACACATGGCCCCCTTTTATACGATTTCGAAATTACCACTTTGTTCTTGGAGACAATTTTGGAATTACAGCGTTGTTCTTTCAGAAAAATTTTGAAATTACAATTTTGTTCTATCCACTTCTCAACTTATTCTCAGACTTTCTAAACGTACTTATATTCTAACTTAGAACTCCATACCTATGACGCAAGTGCAATAAATTGTTTTTAAACGAGCGTACTGCCACGAGCTGCGGTCCTGTATATGCGCAGAAATCTTAGTAAACAAAAGATGCTCGTCGAAAGCCTCAAGTTTCAGCACGATGATGCCGAGGAAGCGGTATACCGTCGCGAGGTGGCATTAAAGAGAGGAGTTCATTTAAAATTTTCCACGTAACTTTCTTCTCATCGTCGCACTCATATAAGATGAACTACGGCCTAAGCCATGGGGCCGCTAGATCCAATTTCTAGTAATGTATCGAACCACGAAGACATTTGCTCAGATATAGCAGTATGTGCACTTTTCGGCGCGATAATACACGCGTCGGAGCCTTATACCTCGTTGTTTCTAACCGGCATGTGACTGTAACCGGCGACCTGGAGCTATGACCGTAGTCCAAAAAAAAGAAAATGCTTCTGCGCTTTTTAGGTGGTAGGCGAGACGAACGCACCCGGCTTGCTTGGTAAACTGGAAGCCAGCGTGCTCGTCGAAAACGTATTCGCGCAGCGTGGTCCGACCCATGTCCAGCAGGTACTCCATGACGTCCACTCCCGAAGGCAAATTCACCGCTTCAAAGTTTTGCTCACTCAGAACATTTCCGAGGTACTTCTCAATGAACTCGGACTGCGTGTCGTACTGCATGAAACCCTGGCGGGAAGAGAGAGAAAAAAAAAAGCATTGTCAGAAGAACACCCCGCCTATCGTCTACCCCGTTTTCCGACGCCATCAAGCTCGCGCGTGTCTAGGTATCATAAGCCACATATCGCTCAAAAGAGCTCAACCAGATGGCGGACAGAATTCGCGTGAATAGCCTCTACCAAAAACGGTTTGCAAGCCCATCAGCCGAGCACAACTTAAGGCACGTACCCAATGATGTAAAGCAAGTGCAAGGAAGAATAAAGAAAAAATTATGAGCCATTCTGCTCTGTGAAGGTAGATAACCAGCGAAACTGTTTAGCACGCGACACAGACGTGGCACAGAATTTGGAAAAAGGTACCAACTATCGCCGCCCCGAGGAGGCGGAGAAAACTACACGCACGCTGGGAGCGCCACCTCGGGAGAGCGGAAGGAAACTAGGCATGCAAGCGCTTGGAATAACGACAAAAAGAGGGCGCGCAAGGTTTTGTTGACGTAGAGTTCCTGTATATGCTACCTACGGTAGCAGAGTTGCGCATTCAGCCTCGGCGCGTGGCCGTAGCGCCGGCTTTCCCGCACGAGCTGGATGCTTTGCTCCTCACGTGACTAAATTTGGCGAATAGCGGCGCCGCGCGCGCCGCCGCGCATGGAAAACAGGAGAGGAGGAAAAGGAGGCAGAAAGCAGGGAAACATACGCCGGGGCAAGAGAAACGTCGGCGGAGCGACCGTAAAGGTGGCTTTCTTGCACGCCACCGGATGCTTTGCTCCTCACGTGATGGATCTCGGCGAATAGCGGCGTGGCGGCGCGGGGAAAACAAATGCGCAACTCTGGCTCCCGTAGGGAGCCTATACAGGAACTCTATGTTGACGCACGTAAAATAAATCCACAGAACCCTAGCCATAGACAGCTTCGCTGTAAAGGTAACTGTAATCTAGTAATAAAGAATTAAAATCTCGCGATAGACTGCTGCACTTCAAATATCGTTTGGCCCCGCAATAAAGTGAGCTGTGTACGCATACCCAGCGGCCTGCCGGAAAATGTCACGTGACCCGGCACTCTCAAAATGGACACTTCCTTGAAAGCGCTTTTCAGGGAGGAGCAGCGCTCATTAATCCGGTTTTCGGGTGCAGAGCACGTACAGTTTCCGGTTATTCGTCGCAAAATGTCGAAGCCCTATGGAGGCTTCTGTGTGCCACTTCAACAGGTGTACGAGTGGTACAAAATTTTTCAAAGCCTAAACTCAGGTCTGTCTGATGCAGCTTGTTTCGGCCGTCCTTACCCTTCGACGACGCTGCACTCAATATTAGATGTCGAACGGCTTTTACAGAAAAACCTCCGTGTCCCTACCTATGAAATGGCTCAAAAATTGAACGTTGGTCATAGCTCGATGAACCGTAATATTCATTATATTGTGTAGTGATATAAAGTGTCCGCAAGGTTGGTTCCAAAACGCCCTACGCCACACTTTGAAGGGGTATTCAAACGGAGGATGAATCCTTCCCTTTGCTCCCCTGGCTGCGGATTACCTAATAACAACGTCACACCTTTGCGCAAGCACTCCCCTCCCCATCTTGGCGCGAGATCTCTTTGCAATTTGAGGTATTTTGTTCGACGTGTCTGGCAACCTTAACAGGTTTTGCTCAGCGAGACAAGAGCGGTTGCATCAGGATCGTATAACTTGTTGTGGCTTGCGCTGTTGCGCAAAGCGTCCGAGGCACCCGAAGGAGTTTTTGATATTCCTCAATGCCGCCTTCAAGCTGCTCCTTTTCCAACTGACTCTTGATTCTATGTTTATTGTGTTGCATCGGCCTATTCAAAAGGAGTCTTTCTTTTAGCCGGAAGCAGCTCGTTGTCTTCTGCACCTAACACCGTTTTATGGACGCCTCAATGACTTTGGTCCTACATCGGCTCCCCGCCGTTCGTGTGAATGCTTGAATCGGGGAGGGAGTGCAGCTGGTTTCGGTCGATCATTGACGTCACGCTTACCTTTCCCGAAAAGCATCCCTCGTGTGAATACTTCTTAAGGAGCGCAACGTGGATTTGTGCGAGACGCTGCTCCGACGCTATGAAGCCGAGGGAGATAATTTTTTTTACGTATCGTCACTCGGGATGATTGTTATATTCACTATGCCCAGTCTGAGACCAAGCAGGCAAGCAAAGAGTGGAACCACACTTCGTTGCCAACTCCAAAGACGTTCCCAGCAGTTCCGATGCAGGGCGAGGTCATGCTTACGGTCTTCTGTGGCCGTGAAGGGACAATAATCAAACATTACTTGTCCAAGAAACTCGGCGTCAACTGCACGTTGTATCAAAACCTCCTCGAGAACAACTTTAAATCTTTGATCAAGTCTAAGCGTCGTGGTTTTCTGACCTTTGGTGAGTTGCTGCAACGGGACGAGAGGAACCTCACAAGGCACATGAGACAGCGGTAAAATATTGAAGGTCTACGTTTCCAGCGCATTACGCATCCCTTACATTTAAAGGACCTGGCACCGAGCGATTTTAGTGTGTCAGAAACACCCCAAGCAGTTCTCGGCGGAATGAAGCTCCGCACAGGGACTGGGCTGAAAGCGGTGGTGCATCCCTGTCTTTGTAACAAACCAGCAAAATGTTCTTCCATAGTATCTACGCGTTGGTGAAGCGTTGGAGCACATGTGTTGAAAGCGGCGATACTATGTTACAAAAACTGCAAATTGCTTTTAATCCTGTTTCAAGTATTACGTAAATAAAAAACATATATTGTGATTACTTTTTTTCACTCTGCTTCTCTAAGCAGAACAGATTTTGGCCAAGAATTGGCCAATGGTTGGCCGATGGCTGATGGCCAGTGGCAAGTGGCCAATGGACAGAGAAAGGCCATTCATCGGCCGATGACTGGCCACTGTCTGGCATCTGGCCAAAGGACCATTGCCATCCACTGGCCATTGATTGGCCAAAAGTCTGCTGGCTGGTGCCATTTTTTATTTTGTGGTAGTGCACATAGAGCGTTTTTTGTTCGCTTTTTCGTAACCACACGGACACGCGCGTGCCGGGTCGTTGAGATTGCACACCCTGGCCTGTATATTTACAAGAATTGAAAAGATACTGATATGTGAAAAGCCTACAAAATAAAGTCATCTGACCCTAGAAGCGGTTCAAGTCAACCAAACCCGACATTAGGGAGACCTCGAGGCCGGGTGCTGCGATACGTTTCTGTGCACGAGGTCACGAGGTAATCTGCCCATTTCCTACCAGTTGAGTACGAATGCTCAGCCGCAATATTCAGCCGTCGCGCTTGCTGCAGTGGATAAGAATATAGGTAATCCTCTCCAAAAACCACAGCAGGGGTTGCGGACACCAGGCTAGGTTGCGCGACTTCTAAAGTTAAGAACTCTCGCTCCAAGCCTTTGCTGTTTTTGACGTTTTTGCGGCGAGCAAGTCGTCTGCTTCTTGAGCAGGAGCTTCGGTAACGTCAGAGCGACGGCGAACTCTGATTGGCTTTGATTGGAAAGATAGTGGTAGACCTCAATGCGACATGCCTCACGGTCTACCCCCTATTTTTTTTTTTTTTCGATCAGCCAGTAAGGGTTTGACGTTCTGACATCATCGCAACCCCTGTGCCTGAAGCAGACGAACCTGCCCTTCGCATAAAGTCACTGACGTCTTTAAAAAAATATAAAAAAAAAAAAAAACATAACACAGAGCCTGGGGAGTTGTGAGCATCCTATTGTCGCTCTTCAGCCAATGAGATTGCTCCTTTAGCAGAAAGTCGACCAAGAATCAATCACGAGGCTAGAAGATCATAAGCCCTACCCCGCGTTTCGTAAACTGTTCGTGCATATAGTGCATGGTAATTTCTTGTTATTGCTGCAAAAGGAAAACGGCGTAATTCAATCAAACGATGAAAAAAAAGTGCGCGTAGCCTTTTCAGTTTGTCGACCACGGGGCCTGGAACGCGTCTCCATCTGTGGTATTTATCAGAGTTTATCATCCTATATTATGGCTTGCACTGACGTCACGTCAGCCGCCGCCATTGCGCCTGTACCATACTCCAGTGCCTCTAACTTCTCCAGCATATGCTTGAGACAATCGAATTTGTTAGTATGATCGATAGAATTCGTTCGAAAATCAGCGAGAACGATAAAAAAAAAAATAATTCGATGGTACGAAATGTATGCTGCAGAGGGTACAGGACAAGGAGCTTGGTACGGAGCAATGGCGGCTGGTATACGGTGCCATATGATGTCGCGTGCAAGGCATGCACACCAGCGATGCAATGAGAGTGGTTCCCAAGTGGCGAAAAATGGCGTCATAAAAGCCGGAGTGTCATGCCATTGGCTGCCGCTATCCCAACAATAGAGCGTAATTCAGAAAAAGAAGAAAAAAAAAAAAGAAAGAAAGAGAGACAGAGAGTACGGGAGTGCCGAGTCATAGCTTCCTCCATACTAACAAAGCCTGACAGATCGCCAAAGGTGGAGCGGCAGACAACGAATGACAGGAGAGCCACTTGACTGGCGGCCCGCTGCGGCGAGACGCCGAAACACACTTCTCCCGAGCGATGGAATGTCCGCTCGTGCTCCTCGCATTCCTCGCGCTACCGCTTCGCTTCTCTTCGGGTTTGAAAACCATGTTTCGGGTCCTCGCCGCTGCAAAAGCTGTGCGCTGACGTCCAGGTTCCCCGAGAAATGTTCTCTGCTACCAGATCCTCGTGCTCCAAATCTGGGACCGGGCACTCTATGGCTCCCTCGTCAAACTGCCAGCCTTTGTGAGCACAAAGGAGGCTATGGCAGAATTCGTCGTGGCGTCCTAACTTCTGGCTGCCGAAGTTTCGTGGACTGTCAAGCTGGAGTGAAACCGGCAGCAGAACATGCGTCTGCCACTACCACTGCTCCGACACCGCCAGGATCGCGACCGGCGACAGCATGACCCTTCTATGACGTCATCAGGCGGAAGTCGAGGGACCACTTTTGAGGACGCGGTCGACCCACCAGTCAAAGACGCGTCCCATGAACCATATTGTCGACTGCGGCACGCGGGTCCCCCATCGCGCAGCAGGGCAGTGCTGTACGTACATGGCCAGAGCCGAGGACTTTGTGGAAGCGGTAGCCCAGCTCGTTGTCCCTGCCGCCCCTGGCGTAGCCGCTCCCTCGGAGGGTCGCGTTCTCGAGGAAGAAGAGCAGAAAGAGCAGGAGTGGCGGTAGGATCCAGCTGAACAGCGGCATCCTCCACTGGCGTCGGGTGCAGATGGCCCGCTTCGAGAGCAGCGCGAAAGTCTTCTTCACCAGGCTCGGCTTGAAGCGCTTGGTGCTCACAATCACCTTTATCACCGACTCTGTTTCAGAAAAGCGGGGATGTATCAGCCTCAGCTTCAGTTCGACGCCACACCACGACCCAGCTAGGGAGACATTGGCGAGTTTTAGTAGACCGTGTTTCCCGCTCCGCTCAGCCCCTCCGCTACACCTGAATTCTACAGCCAAGGACATCGGCGCGCAGGCGCAGTGGCGGTTTCTTCGTAACGGAGGGTTAGCGGAGAAGGAAACACGGTCCACTGAAACTCCCTATTGGGAATACGAATGAAATGGTGGAAATCTAACAATAGGGACTTTTAGCAAACCGTCACCGAGTTCCCGGTACCACATCACTGGAGCCTTTGAAGCCTGCTTTCAAACTCGCACACCGCTGTCAGGGTATCACTTACGGGCATGCGCTTAAAAGCATGCTTCAAATTCTCCAGCAGTGTGGTACGCGGAAGACAACACGCTAACCGGTTTGATAAAAGTCCTTAATAACAACCTAAGCGTAGTACAAAAAAAAAGTACAAAAAAAAAAAAAAGGTTTGCTGTGAGCCAAGCAAGAATCTAGATAACAATAGGCCACGCCCTGCGCTACTTAAGCTCTACGTGGCTTTAGAAGACTGGCTTTGATATACACTCTAAACAGAAATTCCGAGGACACCTAAGCATTTCTAGTGAGTTGTGAATGCGAAAGCACCAATGCCGAATTGAACGTGCTCCCAGCTTTACAGTGCGAGTATTAAGGCGCCGCCATGTTCGCCGGCGCCGACAGAAACACACTAAATTTAGGAAAAAAGTTTTCCGCTAAATTTAGCGGAAAAATTTTCCTGCTAAATTTAGCGGGAATATTTTCCCGCTAGATTAATTAGAAAAAGACCCCGCTAAATTCAACGAAAAAATTTTCCCGCTAAATTTGGCGAAAAATTTCACCACTATATCAAGCGGGAAAATTGACGTCATGTGACCTCAACACCAATTCACTTTCCCTCTAAATTTAGAAAGGAAATTTTCACTAATGTTCCCTCTAAATTTTGCGGGAAAATGTTGGTAATGTTTTCGCTAGATTTAGTAGAAATATTTCCCCACTAAATTTAGCGGGGAAATTTTCGCTTAATTTAGCGGGAAATTTCGCAAAAATTTTCCGCTAAAGTTGAGAACAGCAGGTAAGGAGGAGGGGAGCGTACGGAGGGGGAGCAGGGGCATACCCTCCCCTTTGTACCCTCCCCTCCTTTTCCAAGTCAAGCCAGCTCCCAGCTATGAAACTTTAACCACGCGCAAAGCTAGCCACGGCACCGTTTACACCGCTTTGATCCCATTGTTTAGCGCGCGTTCACCAGGCTCCCATTCGCCGGACACGCAGCGCCATGAACTAGCCGGTCGTTGAAACCGTCGTTGCGCGTCAGTTTCAACGACCGGCCACCACATGGCGCTGCGTGTCCGTCAGCGCCAGGTCAGCGCACCAACACGCGTAGAGCAAGAATGATGTACACGCTTTCGCATTCACAACTCATAAGAAGTACTTAGATGTACCTAATATTTTTTTTCTTCATAGTTCTGGACGTAGGCCAAGGTCATACTTTCTGCAACTAGATATTATCATCACCTTCAGATAGCCATTTCGTCCCTGTTTTCTTGCCGCTAGACGTGATAAAGGCGGGCGGGACCGTACCCGATTGCCGGCCGCGCTCCTCGCTTCACGCCGGTGACGTCACGTTTGGATGGCGAGGAAAACTGGGAAACAACTAGGAAGAACGGAGTTCTGGTTTCGGTAGAAAACAAAATATAATTTCCTTTTAATTAGAGCAGGTCAGCGGACCTTTCGGTATCCGCGAGACATTGTAAGGGTCCGCAAGCTTTGCCTCATCAATCAAGCCCGGAAATAAAAGTTGTATTTCTTTTAGATTGAGACGAAACTTTCCAATTTGCGAATGAGTTTTCTCGTGTTTATGTCAATGACAGAAGTCTACTTCACATTATAGCCCTTATTTATATTGATTTATTAGATCAGTATCATATTTGCCTATCCCATCCCGCTCCCCTCGACACGAGCAGGGTCCTCCGTCATCTCCGCCGATCTACAAAAGGTCCACGAAACATCAATGGTTGGGAACCACTGAACTAGAGTGAATTTTGGGGAACGATATAGCATTTCAGAATCAGGAAGCCATCCGCATTCAGATGGCATGTTTGGATTAGGTAGCTAAAAAAATCGGCGGAGTTCCCCTTTGAACAATTTACAAGACCACCCGTTTTTCTCCCGATCTCTGCATTGCCCTAGACAACAACGGCGAGTCATACGTCTGGCTTCGATCATTTCCTGGTTGTCATCGGCGTCCGGCTGCATGTGGTGTCGTTGGATGTGGTGCTCCTCACCGACCCGCATGAGCACGTCCTCAAGCGTCGTGACGGCCAGGCCCAGCGACTCAAAGCCCAGTTCCTCCTTGCGCTGCTCCAGTTCCTTGAACATGGTGATGGTGTGCCTGATGGCCACGATCTGCCCCAGCACGAACATGGCCTCGTTGTCTGAGTCGCTCTGCAGATGTGCCCGGGGCGCGTACTTGCGCAGCAGGAACTCGATGGCGAACAGGTTGCATTGGGGCGTCTTGTTCACTTGGAGGTGGTAACCCGTGGTGAAGCGTTGCTTGAGGAAGGTCGGCGAACCTATACACCGGATGCGGCCATTGGCCATGATAGCGATGCGGTCGCCCAGGACGTCGGCCTCGTCAAGGTGCTGGGTAGTGAGCAAGATGGTTGAGTGGCGCCGGACCTTGAGCAGGAGCTCCCACATCTCGCGGCGGCCGTCCGGGTCCATGTTGGCAGTCGGCTCATCTAGCACCACGATCTGAGTGCGACCAGACGGAGACTCGTAACTGAACAGGTTACGTTTAGAGTATCAATACTGTACGTTAGTTTTCGTTTTGGGCGCCGCCATTATGAAGCTAGGTACAGAGCAGGCACAATAGACCCCTTACAAAAGTTTGCGCCACCTAGTGTGTAGCTGCTGAACCAATTATTTCACTCCGTCCATGGCCCCCGAGATTCTTGGCGCGGAACGTTATGCTCCGACCGTTCCATTCGTCGGGAAAGACTGACATAGAAAAAAAAAATGACTCGAGGTTGTTTTTGTGGCGCGGTGGCGCTGGTACAGAGCTAGAATCACAAACATCGAGCTTGCTTGGCTAGCTGCCAGGATAAAAAGGCGTTTGTTTGACCGAACTGTAGTGGTTGCTTCTTACCACTACACACATTGCTGCCAGAGCCAGAGTACCAGCTGAGTGACTTTTGAATCGGGTATATATTTATACTCTGGCGCGACGCATCCTTTCCAGTGTTAACGAAATTACGAGCTGTATACCGCGTCCACACATTTAACTTTTGGAATATTATTAACATCAATAATAATAATAAGATTTATTGGCTCAGGAAAGCCGCAGCACGGTAGAAAGGCAACAGCTCGTACCACGGATACTTTCGCTACCGCGTCTAGATGGTAATTATGTGACGATATATAATATACAGCATGGAGGACAACGTGTTTTCTTGATCGTCGCGAAAACCGCAGACCAAGTTTTGGAAGTTCGGGGGCGGTTGAGGGCGAGTCAGCCAGCGAGGCCAGGCGATCTTGAGGGCTGTTCAACGAAGGTTTCAGATGTTAACACCCCGGCAGTCTGGTCGACCGGGTGGTGCGGTCACTCAACTCAGCGAAGACAGCGGGTTGCAGGAGGGGGCCAAGTCGAAAGAGACGGCCACCACCCCCAAGGCATTCATGAAGGCTTGAAACGTTGTGCCACGGTCACCCGGTAAAGCTTCCTGTCACCGTCGTCATCGTCGTCCAGGATGGTGGTATCAGCATCATAAATGGCTCCGTATCTTGTCTTTGCGAAGCTATGCAGAAGTTATGCTATACGCTCCTTCTGCTGAGCAAACGAGCGTTTGGAAGGATCGAAGGCGAGCTGTGAGCGTCAAGAATCTAAAAGGCCATGGTCCGCCATTGTTTGGCAACATCCTCTCAGCAGATATCGGACGTATCGGACACGAGGGCTGCGTAGACGTTCGTCAGGGACTCTGATCCAATCGCACGCTTTGTGCCGATGGATGGAGGGATGCTAACGGCTGTACCATATATAACGGGTGGTAGGTTGCGCCACCTAGCCTAGAGAATAAGATCTAAAAGTGTGATTTCTTTCCTTCGCCAATTTGCTTAATATCTGTAATTTCGTAACTATAGTATCACCACACGGTGTGGCATATAACCATGACCTTTAAGGGGATCGGGAAAAAAAACTAAAAACATCATCCCCCGCCTCTTCCTCCCGGCGAGGGAGACGCCAATTTTCTTCTGGTTAAACCTAGTCGGCGTTACCCCGGCACCGGGCCCACTGGGAGACAGTGTGGAGACTTTGGGCCGGAGCAACGCACAAGGTAGTTCCAATTATCCGTCGTCCCTGTTCCGTTCTGTGGCAGTTAGTTGTACGTTATTCAATTCTTCCTGGATAATTTCCCAACAAATGGTGACCATAAATGTTGCCTGAGGAGGTTTTAAAAAGGGTCTATCGGCAATCCTTACGCCGGCACTATTTGCAGGTAGTATTTCACGCGAATAAACTAATATAGTATTTTATTCTATTCGTTTTGGGACAGGTAAAAACGATAGTGACAGCACCCTTCGAAACGAACTAGTGTGCATAAAGTACGCCAGCGTTTGTGCCAGGTTTTGAACAGAAAATACACCGCATCGTCGTCACCTTGGGGTTCCCGATGACTGCCAGCGCAGTGCAGAGGCGTCGCTGTAGCCCCGAAGACAGAGAGACGGCGAGCTGGTCGCTCACCGACGTCAGGCCTACGTCCCGGAGAAGGGTCACCACCTCCAGCCGCACGCGGTCGCGTGGAATGCCCCTCACCTGTATCATTAAATAGGACAGGTCCCAGGAAGCAACATACATATGTACAGGTCGCTGAAATAGAGGAACGGAATACCTTTACTCGTTACGCACCCAAAAGTAATTAAGCAGGTTCTTGGCCACTGCAATTCAAAATGAACGCGTTACCTCAGCTCAAACGTAACGTGTTATTTTATCGTTACCCCGAATGTACCCTTCTTTATGAATCAGAGCCGCTTCCAATATATGACGCCGTTAATGATTCCTCGCTTTTTTAACGCGCTCATTCGTGGGTGACCGTGTCAATACTGACGTACCTTGTGAATACCTCTTCATGGTCTATCCAGAGTTTTCTCGTCGTACAAATTGTAGACGCGAACTGGGGTGAGAACAATAGGTGGGTACTCGCGTCGTACACGTTCCCCTCCAGAAGTAACTAAATGCCGTTACGTCACTTAATGAAAAGCTAACATTTGCTCGCTCCTTTTATTAACAAGTAGCTAGGTCGTTACTTCGTTACCGAAAAAAGCAACTATAGTCGGTGAGAGGTCAAGAGTAAAGTGGAAGTTCCTCCCACCTTTTCTCCTTTAGCAGAGCGAAGGCTGGCGAGGAGCTCGCCTCCTCTCAGCGTTCGCTCTGCTGAAGGGGAGAGGGGGGGGGGGGGGGAGTTTTCTCTGAACTCTTAACCTGTCAATGACCATGTGGAGTGCAAGTCGTCTGCTTCTTTAGCAGGGGTTGTGGTGACGTCAGAACGCCGAGCTCTGATTGGTTCTGTATGAATTGGATAGTGGGTATACCTCAAGGCAGCCTGCTTTGAGGTCTACCCATTATTTCTCAATCACAGTCAATCAGAGCTTTGCGTTTTTCTGACGTGACCGCGACTCCTGCGCAAGAAGCGGGCGGCTTGCACCCCGCATAGGTGCAAGGAACGCGTCGTTGGTGACGCGCACACTTCATTGCGCACAACAACAGACACCCTTCAAAAGTTCACTCACACAAAGAAAGAGCACCCACACAGCGCCGACTCTCTCAACTCTGGTTTGCATTACGCTACCTCTGCATTTTCTCTTACTCTTATATATGAAGACCTAATTCAATCTGCAGCTCATATCACTAGGGTAACTTTTGTATTTTGGAGGAGGCCCGTGTTGGTAGTGAGATGGTGATCCGAGAGGTGCTGCCGTGTACCGGCGCAGGGCTACGTGGATGGCCTTGAACATTGGTGGTGACGACGTGTTGTCACGTCGCTGTCGGGATAAAGCAGCTGCTGGTGCTGCAGCAGCTGTGGTCACTGTCGGGTTTGAGGCGCATTGAAGACAACACCCTGTAACGGCGGGGGCCCGCGTCCTCGCGGGACCCGCCAAGGGCGAGGAAGGACACCGGTAGCTGTCGACTTATTTAATCAGAAACCCCGGGGTTAACGTTACGGAGAGATTCTATCAAAAGCCGAGCACGGACCACTGCGAGAAGCCCGCGCTTCTCTCGCTCAAAATTCGGGCCCGTACAACCACCAAACTGAGAATATTACAGTACCCTTTTCTAAATAGACTGTTTAGGGAAAGTTACCCAGCAATATGAGCTGCAGTTTGAATTATTTCTTTATATCTAAGAGTAAAAGAAGATGAAAAAGGAGCGCAATGCAAACCAGAGTTGAGCGTCATTGCTGTGTGGGTGTTTTTTTTTTTTTTTTTTGTGCGAGTGAACTCCTGCCAGCACGGTGTCCATGACACGCTGGAAGGTGGCTGGTGCTGTAGTCTGTTCTTGTGCGCTGTGAAGTGTAATCATGAACTACCAACTCACTCAAGCTGAAGTATTGACCAATTGGTGACGCGTTACGTTCAAGTCTGGAAGCACAGATGAGTTTGGTGAATGTCCAGAGGGCATTCATAGAACGCTGGAACATTCATGGAGGTGCTATGGTCGTTCCACGGACGTTCACAGGACGCGTATGATTCCCTAGGTAATCCTGAGGACCTCTTTTGTACAATACATGCTGCCAGGACTGCTTCAAGTGTTAGAGTAAAGTTCATTGAAAATGAAACGCTAGCGATACAACAAAGACTTCCCAATAAAAGTGCGCTATACACCACATACGTTCATGCATGTAATAACTGCGATAAGCGTCATTATTGAACATGAAGCTCCATAAAGATGCCTAGAACACTCAAATAAAAAACGGTTAGGGTGTGAGCAATCCTTTCCCAGATACTCTTGTGGACGTCACCATATATTGGTAATTTGTGAAGAGCGAGGACGCAACTGGCGATAAGTTAAAGGGGCACTAAAGTGCTTTTTGAAATCCTTGTTTTATTGTCAAATTTCAATCTACGAGCTCTAATCATCCTAAAACAAATTACAGGAAGACCCCTTGGTGGACTCTTAGCGAGTGCGCTAGCATGACCCTTGGAAACGCTACACACGCCTCCCTTTGGGAAGCGTTAACGCTGACTCATTCATTTTTTTCTTTTGGCTTTCTCTTTTGCTTCCCCTGTTTTTTACTGCCTCTTTTTGGCCTTGTTACGGGCTCAGTGTTAGCGTTTCTCAAAGGGCATGTGTTTGCCGTTTCCCAAGGTTCATGCTAACAGATTCCCCCAAAATACACCAATAAATCTTTCTGTGATTTTTTTCACTTTTTTTTTGTACTCTGCCTGTCAGAGTACTTTGGCGCTTTGGACCAATGAAAGCGTCGCACGCGACAACTGACAAACGAGAGACACCGCCGGGGTTTCGTCGAAACGAGTGTTCTAATGGTTAACGCATTAAAAACGAAATTACATTCATACGCGGCCGATTTGCATAATAAAAGAAG